TATTTTTCTACAATATATGTTGTATATGTGTGTATGATTACCGAAAATAAAATTCTTAACAACGTTTTTCAGTTGTACAAATCATTTAACAAACATTTAATAGTTGTAATTGATATAGGAAACTAGATAAATTAGGCCAATGATAAACATCATTAGTTTGACTGAAGTATCACTGAATATTTGAAGGTGTTTTGGAAATATTTTCAACTATTTCATAAGCTAGAAGATATTGTTTTTCATTATAGGGTTGTGGATATTTTTGAGTTTCATTGAAATGATAAACCCTAGACCTTCTGTCTGGCTCGCGAAAGCTTAACATTGACACCGTTGGATTTCGGCTCAGTGGTCGCAATGTCTAACTTCAATCTATCCATGAGATTACGCGACACCACCCATTTTCTCCGGTTGGTTGCTGCCTCATACCCTACAGGGTTAAACTCAAGTGATAATGGCTTCTCACTAGCACTTCGAAAATCTCCTCATGACGCTAGTCACTAGTGGGCACATGACTGATTGAAGTTAGACATCAACACCATTGGATACAGGCTTAGCGTTCGCGCGCGAAACGGGGGGTCCTAGGTTTGACTGCGGTGTATGAGGGTCGTGAATGTACTTTACTGATGATTATGACGCTAGAACGAAACTGTCGTCCAGTGATTCCAGGTTTTTAATGCTGTTCTAACATTCGTCAATTCATGACTTCAATGAAAACGTATTTTGTGAAGCGAGAGATCAGTGTAAGTATTAGGTTGATGAAGAAAGTAGTTAACAGGTAATGTTTATGTTAATTTCATTAAAAGGATTAAATATTGTGGTCAGTTGATGAGTTAGTATGGTGTTTGAATGAACTAGTAACTTCTTGTTGTTGTAAAATGCTTGATTTCGAATTCTAAATACAATACATTCGTTTGTGCAGATCTTTAATTCTTGATTCATATACTTCTAAGCATCACAGTGGCGTCGCGAGCAGGATCTTGTAATGGAACAGCTAGATATTCATTCTACTTCTGAAGCTTTTGAAGATTATTTGGAAAGGTTTGAAATCTGGAGTATGACCAGGAAAGATGTCAAGGATGATAAAATTGTGGCCCATTTCCTAACATTCATCGGAAAAGAAGCGTACAGCTTATTGAAAACCTTGGCATATCCAGAAAAACCTATTTCACTTCCCTATGCAATGCTTAAGGAGTTATTATTGAATCATGTAAAGTGCCCTGGTTTTGAATGCCGTGAAAGAGCGAAATTTCATAAGATGATTCGTCAAAATGACCAAAATGTTAAGGAATTCATTCTTGAATTGCAGAAACAGGCTGTCAAATGTAATTTTGGTGATCAACTTAATGTGCAGCTGAGAGACCGATTAATTGCAGGAATTAACATACCTAGTTTGGAAAGAGAGCTGTTAAGAATGTCAAACTGTTCCTTTCAAGATGTTAGAACTGCGTGCATTAACTACGAGGCGTTGAATGAACTTGATATTCAGTCGATGAAGATTTCCAATACTTTGATTAGTTGTCATGATGAAAAACAATCTCAGGGTCAATCAAAATTGTGTTCGTTTAACAGAGGTTCCGATTCTCGTGTAAAAATGAACGGTGTCTCAAAAAAGAACTACAAAGGAAATCAAAAAGGTGAGACCAAGTTTGGCAAATGTTTATCATGTGGAAAACTTCATTCTCGTTATTATTGTACATTTCGTAATGCTAAATGTTTTAGATGTGGTAAGATAGGACACATTCAAGCAGTATGCAAAGCTACTGTTCATTTTGCCTCAAGTAGTACTAAAGCTTGTAATTTAGATCCCAATAATTCAGCTGATCCTAATGATCATTTATCTTTGTCTACCATTTCGAAAGGTAATGCTCATATTCAAAAGCGACTATATACATAGCTTGGTTCATTTCATGACTTTATTGTGGACACAGGCAGTATAGAGTACATTATCTTATTCAAGAACTTGAAATCGTTAGATCCGAACGTTGTGATACGACCCACTGAAGTATCAATATTGGGGATTACTGGACACAAACTGCCTATACGAGGATGTTGTGAATTGCTAATAAGAGATGATAATTCCTCATATATACCTTGTGAATTTTTAGTTAGTGAAACAGGACTGTCAATACTGGGTTTAAAGAATTTGAGAAGACTTAAAGTGGAGTTGTCTTTCCTAGTTTCTAAAGAAAATTCTGATGCTTTACTTAAAGATTTGATAGCCAAGTGTGCTAAGTGCAGTGGAGGTATGAAAACTGCTATTGATTCTATTGCCGCCTCAACAGTTAATGAGCTGGAGAGGGGAGTAGATACCTTTCTACTGCAATATAGAAATGCCAGACATTCGGTGACGAAAGAGACTCCAACAAAACTATTAAAAGGAAGAATTCTTCGGTCGAATATGAGATGTTTGGAGTCTGCAGAAGTTACATATTATCGTGGCAATGATCTTCGACCATCCACGGGGATCGTTCAGAAGAATGTCGGGAAATCGATGGTGCGACTTCTAGATATCAATGACTTAAGTACACATAATCGACATGTTGATCAAATACAATTCCAAGAGCCAGGTGAGTCTGTTCCAATTTCGGTTGTTAATTCTAATACTAATGAGAGCATTCTAGATAATACAGAGTCTTTATCCAATACACTGTCGGACAGACACAGGATGAATTTGAGAAGAAGACGTACAACTGATTACAGACATATACATTCCAATTTAAGCTGTGGCGGATATGGTGTTTGAATGAACTAGTAACTTCTTGTTGTTGTTGAATGCCTGATTTCGAATTCTAAATACAATACATTCGTTTGTGCATATCTTAATTCTTGATACATATATTTCTAATTACTACAGTTAGGTGACACAATATACGACAAAACTCTAGTCAATATCAGGATAACAAGTACGAGGAATTTATGATATAAGGATGATTACTAGCATCAAAGCGATATGCAATTTTAATTTTTTTTATTTCAACTCACCCTTCCAGTCAGTTAGTTCTCCATGAAGATGTATGAAATGCTCTTGTGAACAAAAATTACCCAACATTGCAATGATAGAAATGCATAGAGAGAGATACCTTACGATTTCTTATTGTTCTTCAATCATTATTAATTAGTTCATAACGTCCAGTCTACATACTCTGAAAATCTTTTCAAAATATATCAATGAATAACAACTTTATAGCCTAAATTATTAACTAACTTTTGTTAGATAATAAGTGAAATCTAGAAAGAGCTAGTATAGGGCTCTTTGACAGTATCAACCCGTCAGTTCTGCTGGTGATTGAAACCAGAATCTTATTTAGAAAAAATATAAATGAATTATTTTGAATATTTTCTTGTTTCTCTTAGAACTTATAAAATAGAATAGAAATAAATGTTTACGTTATTTAGTTAGTTGATATTTTTGAGATTTTGTATAATTTAGAAGCAATTGTAATTATAAATTAACAGCTAGATCACAAGTATGATCTATTGAAAGTTCCTAATAATAAGATAAATATTAATTACTAATGTTATCCATCGTCAAATTTTAAAAAATTCCACCGAAATTTTAACAACACTAATGTAGTGAATTATTAGATTTGTCATTTTCGTTCCTTATCTTTGTGTTTATCTTATGAAGATTGTATGATTGTCTCCGTTTTAGCTATTCACTAGGTGTATTATTTCTGTAATGCTTTTTCATGTTGTCAGTGTATTTTTATTTTTATCATTCAAACTCTTTGTTTTATCGTTTATTGTCAGAGTGTTTTAGGATTTACATTAAAATACGAATGAATAATAATTTTTCTTAGTTGGCTTTAAAAACTAAAATTCACTGTCCTGAATTCGATTGACCCTTCTATTTAACATGAAGGTTTATTGTTAGTAGTTGCTTCTCAGTTAGTAACATGTAACAAAAAACTATTGAGACAATAAAAAATAACGATCGCAACTTGATTTATCGATAAACTTCTGCCTATTTATATCATCAATTCAATTGGAATGTAGATATGAACATTTCAAACATTATTAATATGTAGATTAATTTCATTAACTTATGAAACTTTGTAAGTATACTTAAACTAATTTGTTAAAATTTTTGTCTAATCTTATTGACCTTTGTTTTATATCTGATTAGTGGAACCTAAACTACCTACCTACCTACCTACCTATTACACTTGGATAACATTTTGTCTTTAAATTTTTTTTTTCAAATCTTTAAATTTCTTCGTTTTCAACAGAAATTATTTATTTTTCTTTATTTTCAATTTTCATTTCATGTGTGTACATTTACTCACAAACATACAAAATAAAGAGAAGTACACTACACAAAAAAGTATACGATATTCACCGGCCTACTTAGATATGATTGGTTCATTGATGTATAGCCTGTTTCCAACTCTAACCAATCAAATTGTCAGTTATATTTTTAAAAGTAGCCATTTTTCGACTTCCTACAAAACTGTTAGACTTGTGCTTAAAGATAGTGGTGGTGTTACAACGAATCAAGTGAATATGAAATTTCATTAGTTTCATACTGTTTCTGTTCTTCCGTAATGCTTTAAATTGACCAAAAAATATGTTTGAATGTTTAAATAGATGCTTGGAAGGAAATAATTTTTCTGCTAGTTTTAAACTATCACATAATACTTTTCATAAAAGTTCTAAACTATTGATAAAGTTATAAACATCACCACAAAATAAGTATATATCATGAAAAACTATATTTAACTGATAATCCTCTATTTTATATTTACCGAAATCGTGCATATGAGTTGAGCACACTACCTAAATACATTACATTTTATTCTACAAATTTATTTCTGTAACATCTTATCATTTATTCCATTCTGAATACATAATCTCTTAGTGTGCTCAAATCACAATCAATGAGAACAAGAAAATCACTGGACTTATCTCGTTGAATTATTAAACTGAATAACCAAAATTATCTGCATTTTACACATTACAGAAAGTACCAATTCAAGACTACTTATTATACAAAAAAATAGAAAATGTTACAATCATTTACTGTAATATTCGTTTTATTGTGCTGTATTACATCATTCATTAGACAAAACTATTTTATCACACAAGTACTTGCCATTAATGATTTGAAATCAAAATACACAGATAAATCACTCAGTTTACACATACCAAATTTAAACTCAGATAAATCCATTGTTCACAATACTGTTAACAATGATCCTACTTATAATAATAATAATATTAATAATAATAATAATAATAATAATAATAATAATAATATACAAACAATGTCAAAATCATCATTAAAAAATAAATCACAATCATCATTGACAACATCTACAAATTTCTTACATAACACATCGAATTCTATTGAACGTAATTTTCAACTAACCAATCAAATTGGTGGATTAGGCTTGGTATCATCATCATCATCATCAGTACAAAATCGTATTAGTCTTGATACATTATCACATACAACAAAAACTTCATCAAATATAATTGAGCATAATTCTCCATTGTTAATGAATTCTTTAGATAATATGAAAAAGTCGAAAAATAATCAACCATTCACTGATTGGCCAACATCATTAGCTTCAGAAGAATATAGTAAAATTAATATGCGTATTATGGGTCAACCGATTGATTCAAGTGTTGTTAGTCATTTACATCCAGATGTATCACCGCATAAAGCAAAAAAACTACGTAAAATTTTATCTGGCAGTTTAGACAAAGAATGGACATCAGAAACACCGCCAAGAGTATTAAGGCAACGTGGTATATCTGGTTCATTGAATACAAATAATCAGGAAAGTTATTCAACAATCGATACAAAATTATTAAAAGAAATTAGAGAATTAAATTTTACATTTCGTAATTCATATGGTGTATATTTTACACTAACTGAAGAACAAATTCAACCATATCGTTTTTGGTTAATTGAACGAGCTACTTGTGAAATGGATTTTATATGGGAAGATTTAGGTCCATTATTTTGGCCACGTTGGATACGTAGAGGTGTTTGCTTAAATCGTCCAGGACATTCATGTTCATGGCCATCTGGTATGAAATGTCGACCATCTGGTTCACGTGCATTACAATTATTACATTGGAAATGTGAAGATGCTGCACAAGTACAAACTAGAGAACATGCTGCTGATCAACGTATACGTCGTCGTGTATCAATGAATACATTTCATTCAGGTTTTTATGAAATGGAACCTGTTACTGATATTATTAAATCGAAACAAAAAAGAGATACTTATGCACGTTTAAGTTTAAAAGATAATTCACTACATGTTAATTCATATCGTAAATTACAAGCACGTAATCTTGGTAATTCACATTATCATACAAAAACATCATGGATCAATATTAAATCATCTGAACCATCATCATCATCAACATCATCATCATCATCATCATCATCAGGATCATCTTCATTACCTTTACACTTAGATCAAAGTTCAAAAGATGAAAGACGTCGACGTCGTGCCAGACGTTTAATTAAACGTCTTAGTGTAACAGCTAATGGATATCATTGTTATTGGCAAGTACAAAAATATTTAATTAGTGACCGTTGTTCTTGTTTATGTTCATAATTTAATTTGAAAAATAAATAAGAAATTCTTTGTTTTAATTTAAGAAGACATTATTTCTGTGTACCTTTTTATTTTCTGTGTGTGTGTGTGGTTATTTCAAAGTTTTAGAATTTCAATATTCATTCCTACAACTAATAATTGGCAATTGAGTTCTTGTTGGGCTAGAATGATATGTAACTTTTTCAGCGAATTTTTATTAACTACGCAGATGGATGTAATTTACTCAACTCTTAATGCTTCTCTCTCACTCTCTCTGTCTCTCTCACTCACTCTCTATGCATTTCATTTGCTGTTACACAATGACAACAACAACAACAACTATTATTATTATTATTATTATTATTATTATTGATAAAAATTTTTCAGTATAGTATTCACTACCTCATATATATATATATATAAATGTAATTTAAGTGTTAAAATTTTTAATCTTTTATTCTGATTACATGTAGTAGTTTAAAAAGATTTTTTTTAAAAAGTTTTTCGTCAAAAATCTTTATCAATTGAACATTGAACATCTAAACAAAATACACCCCATGAACAAACAACATTTGTATTATGAGGCACACATTCACTTACATACATACAAACATACATACATACACATTTATGCATGAGGTTTTTTTTATTCATATATATATATATATATATATATATATATATATATATATATATATAAAGTGTTCATTTGTTTGAACAAATAAATAAATAATGATGCAAAGTAATACATTATTTAATGTTATAAACAAAATAATTCTTACTTAATTGTCTATCTATATTTATCATTTTTAAAAATAAGAAAATACTGACACAAGGAAAAAAATTATCATCATTCAAATTCATAACTTTTTTTTTGTTTGCAATTACTAGAAATAATTATTAATCTAGAAAAAAAATTGTACAATATATTTAACAAAAAAAGTCTATCACTTCTTCCGGGTTAAATAAATCAAAACACTCAATGTATGTGAATTGAAACTGTATGAAATTGTTCATTTAGTTATTATTAACGATGATAATAATATTTCGTTAATTTTATTCATGAAAATAATTGAATCAGTGTTATATAAATATACAAATGTATATATATATATATATATATATATATATATATATGTATATACTTGTCAATTAAAGTTTTCTTTATAGGATGAAACAATTACAATTCAGTCACAAGAAAGAGTTTCAATGAATTAATGCATGCAATTACAGTATGAATTAAATTTGATTTATTTAGATCATGAAATTTTCTACAAGAAATTAGATTTTAATAAGAAAAATTTTCACTTATTATCACAATTGTAATTCTTGCGGTTTCAACTACCTTTTTAAATCATTTTTTTAAGATAAAAAAAATAATTTTTATTTAAACAACATATCCCGTGACTTTTAATTTTTATATTAGTATGTCAATAATTTCCTTATTCTTTTTCATTCTTTCAACTCAATAACTCAGTTACTTAAGTAGTATAGCACTATTTGCTTAGGCATCAATTTCAAATTATTGGTTCTCAGGTAGATTGAAAATGTTTGTCTGTCAACAACTTTCTCATTGATCATTATTTCTCAAATTTTTAGATAGAAGAGAAAAGTTGAAAAGATTATCACTTTATGACAGTATGAAATGAAATATGGTTGCTTTGCACTGATATCTGTTAAACTCTGTACTAGAAATTGTATAATACATTAATCTGACATGGGATTAATTATATTTCAAAATAAAAGGCAGTAGCCATCACGTAGTAGTTATCACTTACATTCTCCTTATAAAATAAGATGTATCATTGACAATTGAATGAAATCCTTATTCATTGGTTTTGTCAATTGACAACTAACATTTACTATTGTAACTGGATTTCTGGTGTAGATTAGTTTTGAATATTATTTGTCATAAGTTAATTGCATAATACAAAAAAAAAGCTCATAACAAATTTCGTCTAATTAATAATAGAATATTAAATTTACAATTTAATTTATGAAACAATTTTATTAATAATATGTATTGTTTGAAATTATACATTGACAAATTTAGATACCAGTTTAATGCTCTAAAAATTAAGCGTTCAAGAGAGAGATTGAAGGTTCTGGGTTTGATTCCCACGTACGCCGGTCATGGATGCTGATAAGTTTCATACTAGTATGAAATGGCGTATGAAATGGTGATCTCACAGTGACAGATTCATGAATTCAATGAAACTTAATAGTCACCTCAACCCTACAAAGAAAATATCATAAATAATTAAGATTAATGGCCTTAGTGTTGAATTTTTCAGCTAAGAACTAAGTAAATAAAATATTGATTATTGTTTAGTGATGAATTAATGAATGAAATCACCAATTCATTATTCATTAAATTTTTGATGTAATCTACATTCATCAAATTATTTAAAAGTGTTTTTTTATTTATTTAATTGTAATGAAATACATTTTGTAGATAATAATGAGTAAAATATTTTTCAAAACAAAAAAAAAAAAAGATTACCAACTAATTCACATCCCATCACTAATCACATGAACTAACGAATTGGATTCTACTAATTCATTTAACTGAGAAAAAAACACACTGAAATTGCTACAAAGTTTAAGGGCACCAAGACAACTTACCACCACCAATAGATCTTATCCATATACTAGGATGAAACAGTTTTCTCTTAATTTCCAATGTTTTCTCAGTAAACTCTTGTCTGTGACAAAATCTATTACTACAAAATCATTCTTATTCAAAAATAAAGTTTGATTTCGTTGAAACATTGTCAGTGCAAAAGAAAAACTTTAGTATTTAAATAAAAATTTCAGTTTGTCATTTTACTTAATGTATGACGTCGAATAAGTGATTTATTTTAAGACAGTTTATCTGCAAAATATGTTCACCTAATCTTATGATTCCCATTTGAAAAACCAGCAGATCATTGACTGTCTTCTTGCCCTTGCATTCGCATCCGACAGTTTTCTCTTCAGCAGTAACTTCTAGGTGACAATCTACTGTATACTACTTACAAGCCGCAACGTGAGTAGCAAATGATGATTTCCTAACTGACATCAGCTTGTATCGAGCTGTACGTTTAAATCGTGCATCAAGTCATCATCATCATCATCGTCTGTAATCATTGACCTGACGCAAGTTAATGCCACTTTCCAGCTTCATTGTTTTCACTAAATGTCAACACAGAACATGTATATATATGTATATATATATATATACTTTGAGTGCTTGAATGACCGTTATAATTATAGGCAGTTACTGATAGATATAAAAATGAAAAATTATGAAACGAAAGTGATCCAAAGTGTCACTGAAGAAAAATCAAAGACAATTTAACCAAGGAAATTTTCATTTATCATGTACAATAGTATTTATTGTTAGTTTTATTTTTTTTTTCTTAATAAAAAAATAATCCATTGTAAGATAGAAAGCACGTTAGATCATATCATCTGTCAAAGATAATTGTTTAATAAACTAGAATTAAAGCGAAATAATAAGATGAAATGAAATGTGAAAAGAATAATTCTCTACTTGATAAGAATGCGAAAGGTGAAAAGTGATTTGGAAAGAATAAGGTAATCATAACTGATAGTTAAAATTAAGAAGATTGGAAACGTTAGAATGATTTAATACAATCGATTAATGTTGATGAATATGAAGTGTTAGATTGAAAGAAGAGTGATGGCTTACATGTGCCAATTTTACCCTTAGAGATCAGGTTTGAAATAAAAGATTGTTAATGCCTATGCAATGCATAAATTATTCATCAGCGTTCCTGTAGAACTAACTACATAATCTCATTGTATAGATTATTTTAATAGGATTTTCAGGTTGAATGATTTGATGAAAGTTCACTAGATAGTCTAATAATAAAGTATTAATTAACTTACATTTATCTTTTGCAAGCTATATAGGATAATGTTCGAGTATTCATTTCAACTGAATCATCAACAAAACTGTATTTATTTTGTTGATATATCTACTCGTTTTTTCGAAGTTTGAAAAACAAGTTAAAGAATAATTTCACCGGATGTAGAGTTTATATTGAAATCATTTTCCGTAATGACAAGGCATACGAGTTTATGATGTAAAAAACTGTTCTACTGTTAATGATTAGTGCTGTACAATCTTCTCATAATCATTATTTGCTTTCCGAATAAATGATTACCTCTTCACCAAAATTGTTTTAGCAACCAATGACTACATCACAATGACTACTAACCAAATTATGGAGGCATTAATTATTCGATCACCTGTTTCGATAATAGTTACTTACCTTACTTTCTTAAATGTGAATTCTGTACTTACCAATGTAGCTTGATTAATTTAAATGTTATTTAATTCAAATCAACAGAATGTAACATGGCTTCGTACATGTATAGTAACTGATGTATCACAATACTTTTGCACTACTATTGTTATGAATGCTCAAGTTTTGGTTTTTTTTTTCTCTAGTTATAAGTAGACTGAAATTATCTTGTAATAATTTGTATTCATGAATTGATCATTGTTAGACACTTGGAAGTACTGGACAGCCGTTTGGTCATAGTACGAGACTACTAAGCAGTACGCATCCACGACCCTCACTTATAAGAACTAAACGCAGGACCTTCGGTCTCGTATGTGAACGCTCTGTAATCATTTCTGAAAAAGGCCCTAGATACATTGTTCATACTTTAACAGAATGTGTCACAGTTCATCTATTCATAATTACTGGTTCTTCAACTAATGATTCATGCTTTTAAAATCATAATGACAATCTTGTTTTTTCAAAACACAATTCATAAATGTTCAATCAATTTCAATTAATGTCTAAATTGTAAAATTTGTAGTTAGAATTTTTGATTTGCATCAAAGATGGATTACTATTCTAAATACGCGTAAATTTACTTATTCACGTATGTTTTATTTTTAAGTGAAAAATGGATTTTTTTTTAAAATGTACTCAATATGTTTTACATATAATTATTATTATGAAGAAATCTTACAAAAGTATTTTAAAGTTTCAATACCGAAT